GATTTTAAAATAACATTCTTGAACAATTCAAAAATATTTTTCGAACATAGCTTTATAAAGACATTACTTATAGTGGGTTATACTCTAAGTAGCACGGACACGGACACGGACACGGACACGGGACACGACACGGACACGTGGACACGCAATTTTTCAAAAAATGGGGGACACGACACGTTGGGGACACGTTTAATATATATAATTTTATTTATATATTATATGTAAAATTAAAAAATATATACTATTTGTATTTATTTGTATTTATTTATTTTATTTATTATATGCAAAATTAAAAAATATATACTAATTTTATTTATTATATGTAAAATTAAAAAATAAATATATTATTTGTATTTATTTATATTATTTAAGACCAAAAGAAAGGTTAGGGGTTATATTATTTATTATTAGTATATAAATATATATATATATATATGTATATATATTGTTAGTATATAACGTATATAGCTGTTGCGTCGAAAATTTTAGCGAGAGAGAAAGAGAGCAGAGAGGGTCAAACGATGTGCAGAGTGGGAGACGAGGTCGATGGTCGATCGATGGTCAAACGAGGGTCAAACGAGGGCGATCGATGGTCGATCGAGGCGCAGAGAGGGAGACGAGGAAGACGAGGAAGACGAACAGGTTAGGTTTCTTCTCTCTGTCCTCAATCTGTCTCTCTCTTCCCTCGACCTATCTCCCTCTCTCTCTCTCTTCCCTCGATCTGTCTCTGTCTTTGGCTCTCTCTCTTTCTCCTCTCCAACAGTTCTAGGGCTTCTTCGATCCACCCACCTGCGTGTCTGAATCGTGTCCTCGCGTGTCCAACCTCGTGTCCGACTCTGAAAAATTCTGAAAAAAGGGGGACACGCAGGGGAGAGTGTCGGACACGTGTCAACAGCGTGTCGTACGCGTGTCCGTGTCCGACACTAATACGCAAGCCTCAGAGACGTGTCCGTGCTTCATAGGTTATACTGATATTAAGCCTTGAGTGACCACCTACACAAAACACATAATAAAGGCACACATTAAAACACATGTCTTAATCAAATGTCCCATCTTAATTCAATTATCTATAATGTGTTTCTAATATATTTCCTTAGTAATGATGTCTTAACAATGCCCAAGTATGTTTAAAAGAACATGGGAATGAAGTTATGCACATGAGAGTTTTTTTTCAAAAATTGTTTAAAACAGGGTGTTCGCTCGAGCGCAACTCTGATTGCTAGAGCGATGTGGTTTGCCTGCAAAAATACTACATGGTATCAAAGTAGGTTCGAGCCATCACTAGGTCGCTCGAGCCAAGTGCAATGCAAAGTAGAGTTAGCTCAAGCGCACACTTGGTTGAATACATGATAATTATCAAACCATAATCTCAAAACCTCTTTTCATTTCCCAAAACAAAGCCCAAAACTCTTCAATCTTGCTATGCATGTGATGAATTCAACTCTTTTCTTTTCAAAACATGATCATATGAGATGATGAGTATGAAATCATGGAGAACCCTCGAGATAGCAAGTATAACTTCATTCATGTAAAGATTTTGTTGAAAATCAAGCTTAAGAAAGATGAATTATGCATGCATGTATACGATTAACTCATTTTTTCCATAACTAGGTTGATTCTTTCATCTTCTTATCAATTACATGGAAATTACTCTTATTAGTACATGAATCCAACTCCTACATGAACTATTTGCAAGAATTATAGTTAAATTCCATACCTAGATCTTGAATTGAAGGTGTGATAGCTTAATCCTCTCAAATTCCCCCTCCATTCCTCAATTCCTCTTCTTCTCTCTAAGGAAGTTGAAGCTTTCAGCTCAAAGGGTGCAAAATGATGAATTCATAAGCTTATATTACATATATATAGTCTTGGCTAATTAAATAGGATTAGGGCTAATTAATATAGCTTAAGTGGAATTAATTTTAATCAATTCTAATTGATTTAATCTAATTATTTTGATCCGAATCAAATTTTAATTAAACTTGCCATATGATTCTAAATATTCTAATTAACCTATTGAAGTATCCAATTTCGGTTTCTGAATCCGTTTGGGCTTCCAATTTTTGATTCCAAGTCGGTATTCTAACAGGTATTCCATAAACAAACAGATAAACACAAAATTAAACACATAATTAGGCAAACATACTCAATAAAATAATATGCAAAAATGATATGCGCGTTAGGGTTGTCCCATAGTATTTATCAAAAGGTGGGAGATTAACTTTGTTGTTGAGTGTGTTGGGTAGTATTTCAATGCATTTCATGTTGGTGCATGTTATTCCAACTTCTGTGGCTAGTTGGTTGGAGAAGTTGCATTGGGATTTTTTGTAAAGGAGTAGGTTGTGTCGTCCAAAGAAGGTGGGGGGTTTGGGGGTGCAGGGGTTGTGGATTGTCAGTTCTACTTTGTTAGAGAAGTGGTTGTGGCGGTTTGCATGGGAGAGGGATCGGTTGTGGCGTCGGGTGATAGCTGTGAAGTACGGAATGGGTTGGTGGGAGTGGAGTTTGGGGAGAGTGGGTGAGTCTTATGATTGGAGGTTGTGGAAAGGTATTTGGCTTAGCAAGGGGGAGTTTTGGGAGCAAATCCAGTTCTGGGTGGGATCGGGAGATAGGGTGAGGTTTTAGAGGGATTAATGGTGTGGTAAGGTGTTATTGGAATTTCAATTTCTGTTGATCTTTCTTCTCGTTGTGGATTCGGATGCTATGGTGGCTTCTTATTTGGGAAGGGGTGTGGTTGTGAATGGGGTGGTTTGGGATCTTGGGTTGCGTCGGTAGGTTCAGGATTGGGAATTTGATGAATTGTTGGATTTTTTTTTTTGGGGGGGGTGGGTGGGTTCTAAAGGCTCGTGGCGCGTGAAACCTTCTCTGTGTAAGTCATGAAAGAGGTGTTTCCTTGGAGGCAGGGGTGCATTACCGGCGTTCCGTCAAAGGTGGCTTTTTTTGTGTGGACGACAGCTTTTGGCAGGATCCTTACGATTCATAATTTGATTTGGTGTGGGCATATTTTAGTTAATTGGTGTTGCATGTGTTTTGGGGATGCGAAATTGGTTAATCATTTGCTGATTCAATGTCCGGTTGCTCATCGTTTGTGGGGGCTTGTTTATTCTACTTTCAGAGTGGGGTCGGTGCAACAAAGAGTGGTGATGGAGGTGCTTCAAAGTTGGACTGGGGGTTGGGTTGGGAAGCGGTGTCACAAGGCTTGGGCTTTGGCTCCATTATGCTTGATGTGGTTACTTTGGTTGGAGCGGAATCAACATGTTTTCCATGGTGTTGCTCGTTCAGTTTCTTGGGTAGAAGATAGATTTTTGCGAGTTTTGTGTGATTGGGTTTCAGGATGTGTGGATCTTGATTTGTTTGATCATCGTTTGTGGGGGGCTTGTTTTTTCTACTTTCGAAGTGGGGTGGGTGCAACAGAGAGGGGTGATGGAGGTGCTTCGAAGTTGGAGTCGGGGTCGGGTTGGGAAGTGGCGTCAGAAGGCTTGGGCTTTGGCTCCATTATGCTTGATGTGCTTACTTTGGTTGGAGTGGAATCAGCGTGTTTTCCATGGTGTTGCTTGTTCAATTTCTTGGTTAGAAGATAGATTTTTGCGAGTTTTGTGTGGTTGGGTTTTAGGACGTGTGGATCCTGATTTGTTTACATTTTTAGATTTCCTTGATATTGTGTTTGGCTAGTTGTTTTGTTTTTGGTTCCTTCTTGCATTCTTTTGCATCTCCTTGACTCTTTATTCAATAAATTTTATTTATCCAAAAAAAAATAAAAATTGATGGAATAATTTCTTCGTAGGAAAGCCAATGCACAAACAACATTGTCTTTGTGCTGAATTGTGTTTTCCTTGTTTGGCATGCACTTACCAAGTAATCATAACGTGCTTTCGTTTTCTGTTTTTTGTGATCTCTCTATTTTTCAATAAGTATATCTGGAGAATGGATCATCAATTTTGGAGGTGCAAAATGATTGGTTTGATGATATTATATCTTTGATTACTCTTATATGTTTTTATTTTTATTTATTTTTATTTTTTATTTTTTCCCGAAGAGAATAATATAAAAATTGAATAAAATACATCATACATGTAGCATCCCCCCAGGCCAATACAACTAGGATGAGCCATCCAAAGCCAAAGGCAAAACAAAACTAATCAAAGAGAAAATAAATACAATAAAGCAGTAAACTTAATGCAATAGAATTGGAGGAGCGAACACCAACCATGCACAAGAAGCAAAGAACGGAAAATCTCCGTGCAACCACTCAAAGGTCCTGGTTCAAACATAGTAAACACATCAACAAAAGACAACAGAGGCAGTAACCAGGCATCCATTTGCCTAACCTGCACTCGCAGCAAAGGGGATCAAACAAATATTGAAGATGGTAAGCCCCACTCCTGCAGAAGCCAAGTATTAAATTGGCTAATGATCGCACCTTTAAGAGTGCACAATCTGCCTCTAATACACATTTTAATCTCATGAATGATAGTTCTAGCATCCCAGAAATTGTTTTTGAAACAATCTAGCATTATGTTCCTTCCATAGAATGTATATGGTTGTAGCAAGCTAGCACCACTATAGCATGAAGCCTATCAATTTATTTCCCCGCAAGTGAGTTCCTGCCCCACTTGACCAGATGCACCCATTTCAGGCTTGCCCATTGAATGTTACATTTGCTAGCTAGCTGGTTCCGTATGCACCCAGTAAAGGAACATTTGAAAAACAGATGATCATGATCTTCAATGTTCAATTGGCAAAAAACACAGCTCATAGATTGGATATTTGGATTCCCATAATCCAGCAGCTTGTTCTGGCTGCAAACCATTGCTGTCACGAGTCCATAAAACTGAATCCTCTCTATTATGTCGGGGGTTCTAATTAGGAGGCATATCACAATTTAATTCCATCAACGTTATAGGATTTATTATTATTTTTACTCTTTCATTTCATCTCTTTTTTTGGTTCTCCCCTTCTCCTGCTATCCTAACCTTCACACTCTTTTTACTCCTTGTGCTTAGTTTGGTGGCGGAAGAGTTATTCGCCCTGGGGAGGTGCTGGAAACATCAGAAAATAAATCTGCTAAAGAGGAGCATACAAGAGAACTTCTTGCTGCATACAAGAGCAAAGTTGGATTAAGCATTGATCCGAAGTTAAAATCTGAATGCAAGAAGGTATGATTCGTATCACATAAACCTTCTCTGTGTAAGTCATGAAAGAAAAGTCAAAATCTGCTTTCTAATTATCCTAGTTTCTATTATCTCTTGAAACATAATAGGTTGAGTATAAAAGAGGCACTAAAAGTAATATTGGAGAATCATTGTAGAAGTTTTTGGATAGATGAATATCAATAGATTATTTTTTCTGGTTATTTAAAGGAACCAAATGATTCCTTTCAAGGAAAAGCGAAGACTCCATGTCTTGTGTTTGTGGTAGGGTGGCTATTGGCCTAATAGCTTGCTTGGTCCATTAGCCTAGCCCAATTATAGGACTTGAAATATTTTGTGAGATCGATAGGGCCAGTAGTGCTTAAAGCCTGACCCTATATATAGATATATAATATATAATATATATAATTTTGTTTTTAAAAATACTTAAATCTTTTGAACATGAATTGAGGTCATTACAAGAATCGAACTCTTGACATCTCATCATAACTAAAGCTTAAGCCACTAAGCTAGTATGGTAGCTTTAGTATATTGTTGTCTATGTTAAGCATACATTTGAATTTTACTGTAGGCTGGTTAAGTCAGGCTTGGAATCAAGAATTTAGGTCAGATGGGCTCAACATACCATCCCTTGGTATAGAATGGAGGCCTGGTTTGGGCCGACCCATATCCATCTTTATTTTGTGGCTTTTCTTGACTTCATTTTATCATATCATGGTAAAACTAAGGGGTAGCCAGGAAGCCAATTCCCTCTCCAATAAAAAAATAAAAGGCCAAAATGACTTAATTCAAAAAAATTAGACAAAAATAGGGAAAGTTGATTACTGTTCAGTAAAAATGTTTTTACGTATGTTATTAATATAATTTTTTTGGTTATATTTTCCAATTTTTTATGTGATTTATTTAAATAAAATGAAATTAATAGAGTGAATAAAATAAATGAAAATCAATTTTTGGTAGAAATAATTTAATGGAGGGGGCTAACTGATGTCAATTTTAACGAGGATGGAGAATTCATATATCTAAGTTATAGTTGAAGAATTAATGAGATAGTGAAGATGAATTTCTTAAGAATTTTGTGAATGCTGTGGATATTGACATTTGTTTTACTTTTACCCAATGTATTGCTCAGAGAGTTATTACAAGAGGGTTAATTACACCAAGATGCCCTCTGCTGTTGGCGAATATCACCTTATCCACCTTATCTATGAATTCATACATTTTGACCCCTTCAAATATAAAAATGCGTCACATCCATACATTTTCATAGGGGTGGAAGTGATGCATTTTTATAGTTTAAGGGGTCAAAATGTATGAATTCATAGATAAGGTGGATAAGGTGATATTCGCCAACAGCAGAGGGCATCTTGGTGTAATTAACCCTCTTGTAATAACTCTCTGAGCAATACATTGGGTAAAAGTAAAACAAATGTCAATATCCACAGCATTCACAAAATTCTTAAGAAATTCATCTTCACTATCTCATTAATTCTTCAACTATAACTTAGATATATGAATTCTCCATCCTCGTTAAAATTGACATCAGTTAGCCCCCTCCATTAAATTATTTCTACCAAAAATTGATTTTCATTTATTTTATTCACTCTATTAATTTCATTTTATTTAAATAAATCACATAAAAAATTGGAAAATATAACCAAAAAAATTATATTAATAACATACGTAAAAACATTTTTACTGAACAGTAATCAACTTTCCCTATTTTTGTCTAATTTTTTTGAATTAAGTCATTTTGGCCTTTTATTTTTTTATTGGAGAGGGAATTGGCTTCCTGGCTACCCCTTAGTTTTACCATGATATGATAAAATGAAGTCAAGAAAAGCCACAAAATAAAGATGGATATGGGTCGGCCCAAACCAGGCCTCCATTCTATACCAAGGGATGGTATGTTGAGCCCATCTGACCTAAATTCTTGATTCCAAGCCTGACTTAACCAGCCTACAGTAAAATTCAAATGTATGCTTAACATAGACAACAATATACTAAAGCTACCATACTAGCTTAGTGGCTTAAGCTTTAGTTATGGTGAGATGTCAAGAGTTCGATTCTTCTAATGACCTCAATTCATGTTCAAAAGATTTAAGTATTTTTAAAAACAAAATTATAAACTACGAAGCACGGATTCTTCAAATAGGCTAACGTATCCGTATCGTATCCGTATTAGATACCGATACTCCTTGGATACTTACGGATACGTATCGGATACTTCTTAATTATTTTTTCATTAATTTTGGAGTATCGGATAGTTAATCTTGAAGTATCGGATACTCCAAGTCATGTTTGTTTTATGAAATTAGAATTGTAACATTTCTTGCATAGTAATATAATATAATATAATTGCAAGTACAAATATAAGAATATTTTTCTAATACTTTGTTAAGTTCTTCAATAAAAAGCGCATAGTGAGTTAAATAATAAAATTTATCAAATTGATGTATCTTAATTATTTCATAAGAATCAACAAAAGAATGTAACAATGGTAAAATTAAATATCAATAAATAAATAAGCAATTAAACTTGAATACAATATTTTTCACTAGTGTCAAAGGAAAAAGCATAGGGACAAGTTGTGAATTGTTCTATTATTGTAATATAAATATATTAAACTTGATATTGAAATGAAATATTTGTTATTCAAGAACAATTCTCTATTCCATGAAGTCAGAAATGAAGAAAAATGGCTAAGAATCAGCATGGACTGACTTTTTTGAAAATCTAATTACAGGGTTAGCGTTTGCTGGTGTAATTAGTTATTTTGTGAAGTTTTCTTCTTTTTCTTTTCTAATTAAAGCTAGAAATATGGATAAAATTTTGGAACTAAAAAAACGCAAATGAAATTGATGTTTATATGATTCTATTATAATTTACAATTTTGTTAAAGTTGTAGCCAATTAAGATATACCTTTATGAGAAATATAAGTTGTAGAATTTGGGAACATTTGGAAGGGGAATTCAAAGTTTTCTTGCTTGGGTCCTCTATAAAGATCAACATAAGACATTTTCCCTTGAGCTCCATAATCTAGTTTGTAGGGCTTGGTTTTGAAGGTATTCAACAACTTTATTCGGAAGCTAAGCAACCCAAGCCCAACCTGCCAACAGATTTCTCTCACTTTCTGTGTCTCTCCCTTTCTCTCTTTTTTTTTCAATCTATTATTTCAGTCTTCTCATCTCTATTTCTCTATGAGAAATAGCTAAAGGGTGATTGTAGATTTGAAGTGTACAAGGGACTAACAATAAAGAATGATTTATAACAACTTGAACTCTTTCCACCAAAAAGTCCATAACAGATTCATGGGAAGGAATGTATGTTCTATATCATTCTAGCAAGATATTCAAGGAGAATACACTCTGTTATCAGCTTGTGAGACACTGAAGTTGTATCATCATGCTAATATTGGGTCACCATGGTCTTATAATGTGTAAGAGCAAGCTCATTCTCTTTGAAACTATAATGGAAGTGAAGGGTTTTTTTTTTTTTTTTTTTGTTTTTTTTTTTTTTGTTGGTAGTCTGATTAGATCGTTTTGATACAAGCTTAGTTGTGACTTGGGAGTACGTAACTTCTGCCTTTTCTTTTATTCTTATTAATTTTTTTCTTTTCCTTAAAACTTTCACTCTACCAAATAGAAGTTATGTTACATGGACTTGGGTATGAGTGTTGGATACGGGCATGTGAGCAAGTGTCAGACCTTCACAAACTTAAATCTTAGGATATTAGGATGTCTTAAAGTAGGATATGGTATTGGGGACTCGTTATGGACACTTATATATTGCATATATTATATAATATTCTTAAATAAGATGATGTAAATTATGTAAAAATATACTTAAAATTAAATAGGATTTATGAAAATATGGAATTTTTATCTCTCATTGCATCTATGTTACATGTTATAAATGTTTCGTTTATAGCAAATGTGAGTTTCTTATTCTTCAAACATTATAAAAAGTTAAAGGATTCAATTGTCTAAATTGGGTACAGGTGTCGGACACATATTCAAACCCGAAACCCTTTTCATATCTGGTGGACACATGTACTTTGAGGGAAATAGAAGTGTTCATGTAACATAGAATAGAAGTAATGAAGGATAAATAAAATTGTATATAGGCTGATAAAAAGTCAATAGGAAAGCTAAATGTTAAATATGATGGCTAAATAACAAAGTCCCTCAATGATTTTTATAATGTACTTATGGAGGATAAAGTGTTATCTAAAGTATTGCTGTGTCACATCCCCTCTCTTTGCTCTCCATATTAGCTGAGAGATATATCCAACTAAAATCTCAGTATTGCCCTCAAGTATTTAGTTGAGGATTGATGTCATATGAGTAATTTCTGAAAACAGATGGTTGCCTTTCACACCATGTATTTTTATGTAAGATAGAGGTCCAATATCTTTGTAACAACTGCTGGATATTTGCATGCTCTACATTAAAGATGCTTCTTAGAGTTTCACCTCTGCTGGCATTGTTTACTACTATCTACCAGAAGGGGGGAAAAAAAAAAGAAGAGGTAATGGGGGTGCTTGGCATTTAATTAGTTTTCTATTTTCCAGTGCAGAGGGTAGCTAGAATTATATTTCTATTCTTATTAATTTTTATATTGAATTTCATTTGTATTATTTGTTTATGCAGAGTGAACTTCATGGGTTGGCTGCTTTGCAGTGGTCTATTTGTCAAGACTCACTCAGTAGGTATAAATTTTTTACTCAAAAATCCTTGTGTAAGTTTTCAATAAAATTATGGAATTGTTTAGTTCACTTATTCAAGAACAATTCTCTATTCCATGAAGTGAGAAATGAAGAAAAATGGCTAAGAATCAGCATGGACTGACTTTTTTGGAATGTTTTCAGAAAATTGAGCTAATATGTTTTTCTAGAAACATCAAAGATGCTTCCTGTTTTCTGTCAAAAGACATGCAAATTTTTTTTTTTTTTAATTTTTTAATTTTTTAATTTTCATTATTTCTGCTTATGTAGAAGGAAACTCTCTCCCAGAAATGGTACAGAGCATACACTAAATTTGCCATCTGTTTTAGAATATTGTAGATATTAGCATGTTGTGTTTTACCTGCTAAAATGAGGCATTTGTTCCTAACACTTTTTAAATCTTGCCAATTTGCTTGATCTGACTTGACTAAATCTTCATTGATCATGTAAACAGCTGCAAATTTGTTACATGTGTTCATGTTCACTGAAAGCAATGGTCTGGGTATTGTTCAATGAAATTTTTATGAAAACCATTTACAACAGTGACAAGTCATAGGAGCATAATGCTTTCATTAACCCTTACGATTATGCTTTTCAATGTTTATGTTTCTATGCATTTGAGAGTATTCCAACCTGCAAAATACATCTCACAGAAAAAAGGTTAAATAGTTTTTTATTTTTTATTTTTTGTATTAAAAAATGAACGTACAATTATGTAGTAAAAGATGATAATTAGGTTAGGAATTTCTTGAATATGGAAGTGAGCACGAAGCTTACCAGGGAAGAAAATGGCTGTTAATATTACAACATTGATAAATTATGTTGGGTAGCTAAACTACTGGAATTTCTAAGACTAACCTGAGTCACTGAAACTACTATGAAAAACTGAGTTAGATTTGAAAGATTGGATAGGCAATGAAAATGGATGGATGGTGCTAAAGTGTAAGGGATTTCCTAGTAGACGTGCAGTAGGGTTGGGTATACTATTGATTGCCTTACGTAACGTGTAAAAAGGTTGAGTTTGCTGGATGTTATGTGAAAGATTTTGCTGGATGTTGTTATGTGAAAGATTGGGCCTGAACTTGGTATGGGTTTTTTTTTGTTTTTTGTTTTTTTTGTTTCTTGAATCAAAAGGCTTCTCTCATATATATGGGTATATCAATATCATTCAATACATGAGGTTCTCCAATTGCATACATCCTATATTCAACATCTAAGTGGAGTGAATATAGTATGCAATTCAAAAGCAATAACAGAAAAATGTAATTAAAATGCCCTTAGGCTTACATCAAATAAAAGGGTACAATGCTTACAAAAGATGGCACTTGGTTTATACAAAAAGGGTCCAAGGCCTACAATTCAAAGAGCTCTCCATAGCTCATGCACATATCCTATGCCTTGCCTCAAGGTTGTGCCATCAACACCTGAAACAAATGTCAGCCACATAAGATGAACATATAGTCCAGTGGGGTAATGTTTTACAAGATAATATGTTTCTATATATGTACATGATCATGATGCTACGCATGTATAATATGCTCAAACGGTTCCTCATTTCAGAAAAAGGATTTATATCAACTCCAATGACCAAGACAAACGTTCTCGTTAAGTTATCGTTTCTTAATTTCATTCAGCTTGTTTGATTTCATAACTCAAGATTCATTTTTCAGAAAATTGAAATTTTTTATTTTTTGTGATTTTTTGTTTTTACTGATTTTTAAAAAAAAAAAAAATATTTTAAGCAATTTTTCTAATTTTTAGACACGCCTAACATAAATACACTTAGAAAGTATAATGTTTGTGAAAAAAATCTTTAAAAAATTTACTAAATACCAAAAAAACAAAAAAAAAAAAAAAAAAGAAGAAAAAAAAAAAAAAAAAAAAAAAAAAAGAAGCAAAAATTCAGTACATTTTTTATATTCTTGTGTATTTATTAATTTTTTAAAATATTTTTTTACAAATATTTTACTTTTTAGATACATCTAAGTAAGGTGCATATAAAAAAGTAAAAAAATTGCTTAAAATTTTAAAAATATTCACTAAAAACAAAAAAACATGAAAAACAAAAAACTCAATTTTCAGAAAATTGAAACCAAATTCGGTGAATCCTCTCAAGTACATGTATCTGCTAGTGGTTATCGCTAAGCACCACCTAATCTAGTAAGCTATCTGAAGCTACACTCTGCTGGTGACCATCGCTAAGTGTCACTTAAAACACCACCAAATTTATTGAAGGACCTTGGCACCTACACCGCATGGGTTTTTGGTCTTTCACCATGAACTATTGAGCCACATTATCCCCAACCTCACCTATCCATGACCCGGATTCACCACCATTATTCAATAAAAATCATAATACTTTAATGTAATCAATGCAACACATGCAAGTATTCAATTATCATAATATGTGCTTCATGCACCTCAGTTCAACAACGGGCTTTTCATTTTCATGATTTTTTTTTGGGATAAATAATGAAGCTTTATTGATAAAGTATCAAGATGATACAAAGAATACAAAAAGGAAACGGCCTCAAAGGCCCAACAAGACTAACAAATCAAATCTTCCACAAAATGTACAAAAGTCAACACATCCGGATCTACTAAACTCGTCACCTAGCTATATAACACTGTAAAAAGCTGCCTTTCTAACCAAGGAATGGAGTGAGACACCCTTTTTGAAACACCTGCTTGTTGTGTTCCAACCAAGCCAACCACATTAAACAATGAGAGGCAAGCATCCAAGCCTTTTGACGCCTCCTTCCAACCCTCCCCCCTCCCCCCTCCCCAACTTTGCAAAACTGCGTGCACAGAACCCGACTGCACCCAAACTAAACCAAATGTTGCAATGGACATGGGTTTCTGTCAACTTTTTTTTTTTTTTTTTTTTTTTTTTTTTTTTTTTTTTCTTTTTTTTTTTCATTAGTGAAAGTCAGCTATTAGTTGTTAGATTAGCATCAATGGGAGTTAGCCTCCCCACTCTTGCAAAGCACCAAGTGCTTGCCTCCTAATTCAACCCCCCCTTAGGGAGAGTTGAATCCATGACCTCTCCCTTGGGACTAAGCCCTTAAGAGAGTTATGGAGGCCAACTTGGCTAGGCCTACAACAATGCCATTCTCCACCAATGGCTAATACAATTATCTCTAACAATGATATAATTTCAATAATCATAAACAATTATCTCCAATTTCAACACAAGAATGTAACTTTCCGAAATTATGCAATTTTACAAATTAGGGTTTTCATAAAATTGGAGCTTCCTAGATTAAAACACTCTCATGCAATTTTATACAAAGAAAATAGATTTGATAGTAAAAATATAGAGAAAAACCAAACCAATTTATAAACCCTAACCTCTTATCATGCCTTTCAAAGTTTCTACCAATAATTCAAAAATTCTCTATCAAAAATACCACACAAACACCCATAAACCCATATTAATCTAATGAAAGGAAACCCTACCTCAAATGGAGAAGAGAAGTCTGAAAATCAAAAAGGGGCCGGATGGACTTTTGGCTCGGATGGAAATGTTGCCCTTGACGAGCTCTCCAACATTATACCTTGGGTCGGAGATCGATTCTCTCTCTAAGGGGGTTAAATCCAAGCTTTAATGGAGGGTTTAATGGTAGAGAAAGAATGTAGAGAGAAAGAGATGGAGAGGAAATAGATAGAGAAAGAGTGATATGAAAATATGTAGAGTTATAGTACAACCATAAAAGTAGCTTCTTTTTTTATTTTATTTTATTCTTTTATTTTAAAGTAGCTTTGGCCCCACAACTCTGACTGTGAACTCATTTTTTCATGTACCAAAGTCGAAAAGACCGCATGAGCGGTCAAATGTGCGCTCGAGCGGTGATTCAGTGCTTGTAGGATCTATATTTTTGAAAAGCAGAGCTGTCTAGGTCTACGGACCACTCGAGCGGTCAAAAGTGCGCTCGCGCGAACTATGCTGACAATTTTGGTGCCCAAACTTTGAATAAACATAACTCTCTCGTCCAACTCCGTTTTGGGTCGTTCTTATATCTAAATCGAAGCCCAGAAGTAAGCTTTTCAATAGTTCTAGCCTCACATTAAGATTCAAAGTGTGAAGAGAGAAAAGGCGAAAGGATGAAGACTACTCAAAAACAAAATCCGAATTTAGAGTTTTTGATCCAATCTTGCCTAGCCATCTTCTTCTCTATTTTATTTTATTTTATTTTATTTATTTATTTATTTTTTTTAAATTTTAAATCAGCAAAAAGAAACTTTATTTGTGACCATCAAATGTACAATGAGATCATTACATCAATAAAGTATAAAAAAGGACAGGTGCAACCAACATCATGGTTATGCTAACCAATCCTAATTAGGTTGGCACCGATAAGATAGCTAAATCACTTGCTGACACCTCAATCAAGGTTCTAAACATCTAGAATGATATCTCAATTATAATAATTGAAGGTCAAATCCTATCATTACACCATGAGTCCGGAAACGATACAAGTACTAGATAACGAGTGCCAATTAACATATACAAGTTGGGTTTAAGACGTGAGACGCTATAGTTGATATGTCAATGTACAAATAGGAGTCTAAAAATGGAAGAATGGAACTGTAATAATAAAATTCCCACTTTGTATGACACTTGGATTATAAGCATTAAATAGTATTTACGATTCTATCAAATCCCGTGTAACCATACATTAGGGGACCCAATAAGTTTATATTTGTACGTAAATTTTAATTTTCGAGACAATTGTCTAAGCTATTTTTGATTGTGTAAAAAACATAGGATGCAAAACGGGAACGTCAAAATCTTACAACAGATTGGAACTGGTAGTGTTTTTGTCGATTTGACAACACACTGCATCACGGAAGAAACTCATCTGTGGAAAATTGATGGCTAAAAGTTATTAGTCCTAACTTCACTATCAGGAAACAACTTTTTGTTTCTGTTTTATGTCTCTTATCCCTGCTCAATTTGTAATTTCCATAGCGCATTATTGTCTTCCACTTTCCTCTTATAGAATTGATTTTTCACTGAATAACGTAGTTTTGTAGTTAAGTGATTGTATTACTTGAAATAACGTAGTGTTTTTGAACTCCCTGTGTTTCTCTTTCAGAAAAGTATCCATGTTCTTTACCTGCAACTTTCAAAACTTCCTGTACAAATACAATTAGTCATGTGGTAAAGTAAAATGAACAAATGGTTTTCGCAAGATAGAGACTTGTATTTGGTTAGCAAATTTGCAATTTTTTTGTGGTCACAAACCCAGTTTTATATGTTTATCCTTCGCGCTTATAGTTCTAAGAATTAACCTGCTCTCATATTTAGGCTGTGTGCTGGTTCTCTTTCATATATCCACATTGAACTGTTGACTATTGTTAATGAATCAAATGAATAAGTCAGATTACTTATCGGAAAATAAGAATCACAAAGAAAAATAACATATCCGATAAGTTAGAATATATGTTTAATGAAAAAATTTGGCAAGGCTTGCAAATTTTATTTCAAAGTTATTAGATTTATGTTCTTCATTTACTGGACTAAGTATTTAACTATGAAAATTTTTGATAGGCCCAATGAGGCTCGAGTCATGTATGAGAAGCTTCAGTCCCACCCAAATGTTAAAGTGAGCAAGAAAGCAAAGCAATTCTTATTTGCTTTCCAGGTAACTTCTTGGGATTGGAGGTTGTTTATGTATGCATAGATCTATAACTATTTGATAAGAAGGGAATTGTATTACCAGGAGTATGTGTGAGGTGTGTCGTAATGTGATGAACTCAAAACAAAACGGATCAAGACATGGATGTCAATACTTGAACATTGAAACATGTCTGACATACTTCTTGCATTTGGATTTGAGATACGATGAGAATTAATAAAAATAAAAAATATTGAGGATTGAAGAACTGTTTTACTTGCTACTTGCTGCTGAATACTGGCCGATCTTATATGGTAAGTTTCGAATTCAAAATTAAGACAACACTTGCATTAAAAAATGCCATAATGCAGTAATCGTTTTAGGGTCCTTGCTCAATTTGTTATGCATTTTAGCATGGATCGCTTTCTTCTTCTTCTTCCATGCATAGCCATCTTGGTGACACTTTGAACTGAAAGTCAGTCGGATTGATTTGCAGGCCATGGAAATGATGAAAATGAAGAGCACAACTCTTTCTCCAATAAACACCGGTTACCAAGATTATTTTGAAGCATTTATTGAAGATAAAGCCAACCACGGTTTGAAAGATGCTGAAGTTGAAGAAAGTGCACTGAATCAAGCCCTCCCATATATTATTTTTCTTGCTTCTCCTATCTTAGTTGTACTACTTGTTGCTGCTGTTCAGAAGGGGATATAATTCTGAAATTTTACACTCAAAGAGGACCCATGCATTTTACAGTTTTGTTTTTTCCCCTTCAAATGTATATTGGCTCCAATTATCCCTATTCCTCTTGTAACACAACATTCTTTATCAACTAGCAGATTGAATGAATACATAGTAGCTCCTCTATGCATAATGTGGAGCAGCTATAAGACATACATGATATATGACGGAAAATCATATTAGAGATTTCAAAAAAAGAAGAACAAGAAGAAGAAGATCAACCCTAAATAGGCTAAAAACACATCTAATATTTTGTCAATCATTTGACGAAAGTGTCAAATTCTTTTGTCATGCAATGGTCTATTTTTAATCCTGTGAATTAGAGAGAAAAAAATGGCGAATATATGCCCTAATTGAGTGATAGTTGTTAAGAAATATAGGTTGCATTTGGTAGAGTTTTGTAAATATAATTTGAGACTATGAGTTGTATTTTGAGTTTGTGAGTTTTAGAATTATAATTTGAGTGTGAAAAATTTGTTTGGTGAATAGTTTTGAAAAAAGTTTTGAATTGAGTGGAAAATTTTTGATGTGACATATGATGTTTGATACAAAAACTTACAACTCAACCAAACATATAACTGAAAATTCTATTAAAACACATAAAAAAATTTAAAAATTCGAAAAATATTTTTTTTGAATATATAAAAATTAACATATGTAAAAAAAAAAAAAATTGTACGGTTTCAGTCGACTGGTGGGACGACTGGTTAGGCAAAATTTGAAAAAAAGAATTCGAAAACCGCGTATGAGATAGAGTGTTTTGTTTAGAGTTTTGGAAACATTATTTGAGAACTCTAACCAAATATCATAGTTGAGTTAAGGTGTGGAATCATGATTTGAAATTACAACCAAACAGAGAGGTAGTTTTATTAAATAGTCTGAAGAAATTTTGTGCTTTGCGGAAATAGATGCTCGGTATATGACCTAAAAAAAACACATTCATTCATTTGATGACAGTATAGGGGACAAGGGTAGAGATGAGGATTGTAGGATTGATACGATGATGATAAATGATATACATGATCACTTTGAAAAATGCATTTTGAATAAATTATATTCACATTTCTTAAAATTTGAAAAATATACAATAAATGTTACAATTTGAATATTATTATATTGCGCTTCCTTAAATTTAATATTCATGTAACATGTACATTCACATCGTTAGGCTAATGTCGGAGGACTGATGGTTTACCATGACATCAACACTGCACACAAGAATAATATGAACTTATTGTACTTTTTATTATGTGCAGCACTATATATATCTATATAAGAATAGCTTAACTGATTGTGATTTATTTTTTAATTTTATCTTTTTATTTGGAATAATTTATTAATGGTGACTTATATATTGATGAATGTTTTATTGTAATTACACAAATATTTTTGATTAATTATGCTATAAATTTTTTTTGTAATTACGCAAAACATTATTGGTCAATTATGAAATATAAATCTTTTATTTTTTAACAAATTACAAATACATCAATAAAGTTTGTTTAAAATATGAATTGGTCTTATAGTACTAGAAATTTCAACTATCGTTTGTTATAAATTTTAATTTAACACAATACTCAAGGAAAAAAAAATTATTCTCCTATGAAATAATAAATTATCAAAATTGTTTATTGAAAAATATTTTTCATATCATTAAAAATTGTCAATTGACTTAATTTATTAACAAAATGGTTAACTGGAAAATATTTTTCATATTATTAAAAATTGTTATTTACTTAATGATTTACTTATTAATAAAATTGATAATTTGTTATACGAGTATGATTTATGTATTAATAAAATTAATCATTTGTATATATATATATGTATTTTCTACTGCTTCTTTATTAGTTCAGTGACTTATCTTAATCGGTTTTTTTAAATGAGAGAATTAACTTAGTATTTGTTTTATATTTATCTGTTGAGAAAAGCTATACACCATTTTTTTTTTTAATTCGGAAGAAATGTTGAAGACTCATAAATTCACCCAAAATGATATGGTAATAGAATTAGAGTCGACATCATTGAGTGTATAACAAATCAAAAAATAATACGTATCATACCACATAATTCTATCATATATTTAATGATTTATTCTATTCAATTTTATAGAACAATATTTTAATTTTAAAAAAATTATCAAAATACAAAATTTAAATATACTGTAATAATAGTCCGTGTCTTGCATGGGACTCTGTAAACTATTATATATATATATATATATTTCTTTAAGTTTAACAATTGACTCAAATGGAGGAGGCTTTTTCCAAACTAAACCATTATACTAATTTATTTCTCAAACTAAGTCTATTTTTGCGAAATTTTCCAATCTAAGCTAAAGGGTTTTTACAAAACGTGCTTTCAGTATTTTTGTAGTCTAGGCTGACAAAATAAACAAAATCATAAAAATATGTTCAAAAAACGCACTTTTAATTAAGATCCCGCGATTACAAAAAGTGTGGATACTAATTTAGAAATCGTGTTTTGAAAACACGCTTTCAAGTTTAATTAAATTCGAGATGTAGTTGGCCCCGCTGGTGTTATCTCACTTTTCTGTTCGATGTCAACTCCCACACGCACACACTACCAACACAAGAAATTATTCAATGCTTGTCACGACCCAAACCCAGCCCTATGGGTTTAGCACCGTAACCGGCCAGTAATCCGAGATTACCGAAGGCCTGCAGAACAGTAGGACAGTAAAACAGAGTACAGGGCCTGGCGGAAGCCAAAACAGTAAATAAACAATGCCCAATGAGCTGTGACAGTCTGTATGCCAAAAAGACTTTTCACGCATTCATACGTAAACAGTACAGAACAGTATGCACAATATTTACATTCATTCAAACTAGGGACTCAACCCCATAACAGTACAGAAAACATTCAGTCTATACAGAACAGTAAGACAGTACAGAAGGGGAATTCCTGAAACACCCCTAAGCCTTAGCAGATAGGCTCGGAACCTCGCAGTGAGGCACATAGGCTGGCTTGACAAAACTGGAGTCTAACCCACGCTCCTAGCTCCGGTCTGGTGGCTGAGCACCTACATATATATATAAACAGTGAGCTAAAGCCCAGTGAATAACATAATGCGTAAAGGGGTTAAGAATGAATGTCCTCACAGTAATGAAATCAGTTCATTAAACAATACTTCAGTCTTTCAGTCAGAACAGTTATTCAGTCATATGTGGTACATCCATTAGCATAGCAGTAAACAGTAGGTCTTAAAGGACCGAACAGTAAATGATGGCCATCAATCAGTAACAGTAGTGGTTCCAACAAGGGAACCGACAGAGAATTCTGTCGCAGTAACAGTAAACAGTAGGTGCTAAGGATGCCACAATACAGTTCAGAATATAGGACATACATTCAAACAACATTCGTTAACAGTAATCAGTTCATAAAACAGTACAGTTCAGTTATTCAAGAAGATAATCCATTTTGTGACATATCTTACACAATTCGTTATCACAGAGTTCTGGGCTAATCAGTATGCTAGAGCGTGTCTCCCAGTTCGCCAAACCCTATCACGTAACGAGATTGAACACTACTAGCTAGCTAACACAGCTGGGAAAGATAATAAGCTTAATCCCTATTTTGCTCGGTGTGTTCTACATCTAATCCTCAATAAGATGCCTTTAAACTAGGCTAAGAGTGCCTAGAATGGGATGAGGATGCAAAGATGCAACGGTTAAAAAGCATTTTCAGATTTTTCAGAAAACAGAGTCCCGCTCGAGCCGCGGTTTCGCCGCTCGAGCGGTCATGCAAAACAAAGGTAACGCTTGAGCGTGCAATATCACCGCTCGAGTGTACTCGTAAAAAGTACTGGATGGGTGAGTCTCCGCTCAGAACGGATGCTCGATCCGCTCCGCTCGGAGCTCGAGACACAGTCGTAACTGCCTCCGCTCGAGCGCGACCATATCCTATCACGCTCGAGCGGACTGTAAAAAGCAGTGGCAGAGAATATTTCTGGATGCTCGGATTCAACGCTCGACGCGCTCATTTTCCCGCTCTAGCGTAAGTGCAAAATCTGGGAATCCAGATTGCACCTCCAAGCTCAAACTCAAGCTCAAAAGCAATAAATAACTTTCAATCCTCTTGGCTAATTCGGGCAAAAACACTTTTAACAACATGGAATAACCTGATTCACACTCAAATTTTGAGAATCAAGCCAAGGGTGTTTAATTCATACCAATTTCAAACCATTTCCAAACGGATGAACATGCAAACATGCAATGAATTCAAATCATTTTCAAAGCTCTCAATTTGATGCTCTAAGGAGCCAAATGTTTCCAAAACATGATGAAAATCATGGGACTGTAACGCAGTAAATTGTGGACATGCATGTGACAATATTTCCATGACTCAACTCAAATTCCAACAATCCAAACATGCATGCATGACTTTTGTCTCTATATCACATGTATGAAACTAAAACATGACTTAGCTCTACAATTTAAACATGAGCCATAGCAGAAATAGCTCAACACAAGAATGAGAAGATGAAATCCTTACCTAAGTCTTTGAATTAGAAGACTAGGAGCTTCAATATGCAATCTACACTTCAATTACCAAGCAATTTCCACAATGACTTCAAGCTTCAACTACAATTCTCTCTCAACTCTCTATTTCGCTTCTCCTCTAGTGTCGGTGATGTTGGCTCAACAAGAAATGACTGAGAATGTTCCATATTAAGTATAAGGCTCAATGTGTGAGATAGTGGTCCATTAGGGGTAGTTTTGGTAATTAAGTCCGAACCTAACTCTTTTTTAATTAGCTATTTTACATCAATTTAATCATACCTAATCAGTTTTCAGATAAATATAACCATAAAATCACATTAATTATGACACAGGATCATAAAACATCGATCAATTCTGGTTCGGTCGCCGATAAGGCCTTCAATTAGCAGTATTAAAACATAAACATGAATAGATAGTCAAACAGTCAAACAGATAAGGAATTTACAAATTAACACACATACTCATTCAATTTCGTTCCAGTTTTTCAGTCAGCAGTTCAGTACTTTAATCAAGTTCAGTTATCAATCATAATTCAGATTCAGTTATCAGTCACTAACAGTTACGTTTAACGGTAATTCAGAATCATGTTTATTCGTAAAGCAGTGGTGAGGGTTATTACAGGTCTCCCTTCCTTATA